CATTCCAAAATATTCCTGGACATGGCCAGGAAAATCTTGGAATTCTTGGAATTCTTGGAATTCTTGGAAATCTTGGAAATCTTGGAATTCTTGGAATTCTTGGAATTCTTGGAAATCTTGGAATTCTTGGGATTCTGGAGACTTGGCCAGGAAAATCTTGGAATTCTTGGAATGGTCTTGCTCGGGCATAGAAGGAAGCTTGCAAAAGGTAGGTTTTTTTTTTGGGGGGGGGGCTTACCATATATATATATATATGTATATACACATACACACACACACACACACACACGCATGAGCGTGCTTGCGTTAAAAGTGCGACATAGATGTACATATCCCTTGAATCGTACGGTTCCTGGGGTACAGCAAGAGCATACCCGAACAGTCAACCTCCCGGCTGACCTCGGTCTTTGCAGGCAGATCAGTTGGTCAAAAAGGACTTGTTGGGGTTTAGGGTTCAGGGTTTCGGGGTTCGAGTTTTGGGTTCGGGGGTATAGATAGATGCTCGTCGCGATAGCCTGGGTGCCTGCGGAGCTAAGGATCTGATCCAGCAGCTGGCAGACAAAGAGCAGGCCTGAATAGAGCTCAGAGTCTAAATTATAGGGGTCTGAATAAGCAGTATAGTCTCTAGCCCGTGCATTATTTGGGGTGTCGGCTTCTGGGGTGCCAGAAACCCTGTAAGCCATGACCAGTGACCGAGTCTGGTCGTACAAGCCTGTAGCCCAAACTTAAACCCAACAGAACCCCACAACTTAGCATTATAGGGTTGAACCCCTGAACCCTGAATTCTATAAAGCTCATTGACACACCGAACCTGCCGTCAGCTTGACATGTTCTACGCATGCCTCATAAATCCCTTCTCGAATCCTTATGTTAATAATAACACTTTGAAACCCTTGTGGGCGGCTCAGCAGGCCTCTTATAAAGCCTCAGAACCCGGCAAGGTCTAAGAAGTTACACCCTAAAGCTCAAGTCCGGGAAAGCCCTCATGAAACCCAGGATCAGGGTCGTGGACTTGAAGGCGTCAGGCACTGCTTAGTTTCAAGGGCCGAAGAAGCCAACATGTCTTCCAACAAAGCCAACATGTCTTCCAACATGGAAGCGGCTAAGGGTGTTGTTGGGTTTGGGGGAATTTAGGGTGTAGGGGCGAATTGCAGGCTATAAGGTTCGGCCCTAAACTATAAGCCGGGGAGGTTAGGGCTCTAGGTCCTAGGTTCCCTGAATTCTAGAGCCTAAACCCCTAACCACTCTAAGTCCCACATCCTAAACCCTAAGCCCTCTAAACCCTAAACCCTCTAGAAACCAAACCTCTCCCCCTCCAACCCTGAGCTTCGGGCAGGAAAAGGTCCAGAAGGAGAAAAAGGTGGCGGAACGGGTCAAAGAGATCCGGAGTCAGGCACGGGTTTAGAGATGTTTACCTATAGTCTCCATTGTAGTTCCTTTTTTGGTTTAACCAATTCTATATTAAGGATCCTAAATGGTAACCCCCAAAAGGAGCTACAATGGAGACTGTAGGTAGGACTCAAAGTTGGGATTTTGGAGATGCTTAGCGTTCAGGGTGTACGGTTCAGGGTTTTGGGGAAAAGGGAAAACCAAGCGTCGAGAGTCGCCGTGCAGGTGGAGGCTGCGGCGGAAGAGAACATGAGACTTCAGCGAGCCACCTGCTGCAAAACTGATGAGAGAAGTGCAATCAAGAAGTAGAAGCTGCCTAAAACCCTAAGCCCCAAGCCCCTTTGTGCGCGCTTGGTGGGTTCTGTGCTGTGAAGAGAGGTTGTGTCTTGCATGCCTTAAGATCCAGGGTTTGCAGCTTTCGTCGCATCGTAGCAACAGAGGTACCAAGAAGCACTGCTGGCACTTGCTCCTTATCTAGGCTAGTCTTCAAGTAGGTTGTGCATCTGTAGAAGCCTCATTTCCATATGCCGGACACGGCAACTTGTCACGCACAGAAGGCCACGATTCCACCTTTAAACTTGCTAGTTCCCGATGTTTGGGGAGCTAGCTGATGGGAAAAGGATATGCTTGCTAGTCTACCCCACCATGACTTTCATTTCAGAGGCAGGAAGCTCTACTTAACTTCACAGGATGTTCATTCCGGAAAGGCCAAGAAAGTCGAGAGTTCTTTGACGGGTAGTGCTCGACTTACATACTCGCACCTTTGTGCGATGAGCCCACTTGCACGTCTGCTGGGGTTTTAGGGAGGTTCGATCCTGTAAGGCCTTACAGGGCCAGTTATGAGACTTCTCCGCATCGAAGACCCGGGCCCAATTAGCTCTACATACCCGCATGACACGTGGCTACACCCGGCCCTAAACTCCGAGAGTCCCAACTCCTAAACTCGCAGAGCCCCAAAACCCACAGCTCCAGGACATTGTCAAGTGGGTAGTTACCGCCATAGGAGCCTTATAGAAGGTAAATATACCTGAAAGAAGCCTTATCGAAGCCCTACATACCCTAAACTCCCCATCTGTAGTTTCCTTTATATAAACAGCCCGCATCTTGCGAATAACCTTGTGGGACCTCGTCAACGCAGAAGAGCAAGACCTTCATGGCTTCGCGGGCCCTGCAGGAGCCCTAAACCTCTCAACCCTAACTGCGCCCCCTAAACCCTGAACCTCAGAATGACATTAGAGGGGACTTCACCTCGACTTCCAACCTGAAGCCTGTATTCCCAAATCCCGGAGAGTACAAAAAAAGCTCTAGTGCGGAACCTTAAACCCACAACCCCCAAACCCTACACCCCTAAACCCCAAACCCTAAACCCCTAATCCCCTAAACCCCTAATCCCCTAAACCCTAAACCGTAAACCCCTAATCCCCTAAACCCTCAGCCCCTCCTAGGCATTGGTGCAAGACCAAAAGGATGCTCGGGCCGAGCCCTCGAAGTTCAATGTTGGGTTTAGTGCCTATACAGTCTATCTATCATACTGGTTTAGGGTTTAGGGTTTAGGCGTTTGGGTTTAGGGTGTACCCATAGGCCCCTAAGTAGTTCCTTTTCTATGGCTTATAAAAAGAATCCTATAAGGTAACCCCACAAAGGAACTACTTAGAGGCTTATGGGTCCTGCCTATAGTGTCATACTGGTTTTGGGTTTCTGGGGGTCTAGAGTTTAGAGGTTTAGAGGGTTTAGGGTCTAGAGTTTCGGGGCTTAGGGTTTCGAGTCTGTAGAGGTTTAAATTTAGGATGTTGGGTTCTTGGGAGTGTTGGTGTAGTAGATCTATAGAGACTTCGGATGTTGGGGAATTCTTGGGAGTGTAGGTTAAGTAGCTCAAATCAAAGCAGTTGTCTTGGCGGTGTGCCCTTTGCTTAGCCAACCAGCGCCCGGCTCTCGCCGGCGATGGTGATTGCAGGATGATTGGAACCCAGAAACTCCAAAACCCCCTTAATTACGGAACATACCTCAAGTCTTTTTGTAGGGCCCCTAGTATAACTTAAGGTATATATTCCTTAATCAAGGGGGCGTGGAGTCATTGTGGAGGAGAGAACCGCAAATTCTTGTTCCGGCACACCATCCACTGCCGGTTCGTTTCGTCGCTTCCAGCTCTCGTTGTTCTTGTTGGGTCAGCTTCCACAGCTACAGCGAAGTGCCATAGGAAATGTTGGGCCAACCAGTACGGCAACATGTTGCATCCCGGTGGTCTACATCGCATGGTTCGTACCTTGGACTTCTCGGTGTAGCACATGTAGGCGGTTGCAGTGATAGCACAGTCCAGTAGACTGCTCGTCGCCATGGGGTCCTCCAACCGGGCACTCTGTCTGCATGCGGTGGCCGCGTTCTTTGCGGGCATGGGGCTCGTCGGGATCGTCGAGCCCGGCATGGTGCTCCACTTCTTCGGCCTGGACACCTTGCCGCCCGACCTGCGCAACGAGGTCCGCGGCGTTTACGGGGGCTTCGGGCTGGCCATTGCGGCACTGCTGGTGTTCACGCGGAGAGTGGAGCGCCGTCGCCCTGACTATGCGCTCGGCCTTCGAACCGCGGTGATGGTGAGCCTTTGCGGGATGGCCGCTGGACGGCTCGTGTCCTGGGCGATTGAGTCAACGACAGGGCCATGGCCGCTTGTTTTCTTCGCCGTCGAATTAGCCCTCGCGCTCCTGCTATCCATGGCGATGCCCGAGTCGAGGTGCGCGTGAGCGTCGTTACCAGTGCTTCAACGGCGAGCTTGTTGTGTTCACGGTCATATCCGTTTGCGCCGCGATTCTGGTACGCGACGACAGGCGAGTGTTCCATTTGCTTTGAGCCTAACCCTAAACCCTGGGGCACTGAGCCCTGCGGAACCACCTACAGTTTGCATTGTCGTTCCTTTTGCTGCGGCTTTATGAACCAATTTCATAGGTACGGTCCTATAAGGTAACCCTGGAAAGGAACTACAATGGAGACTATAGGAATGTGACAGGAGCAAAAAAGGCGAGGCCTCAGACTCATTCTTTTCGCAGGGTTGTGGCCTTATGGGGTTCAGCATACTGCAGGAGTCTATAGATGAGACGCCTCTGCACTGGATGATGGCATCGGTAATCTGTTGAGCCCAAGGAATGTGATGCAGGGACTACGCTTCTCTATCATCGGTTGAGTCCAGGGAATGTGGTGCAGGGACTAAGAAGCTAAGAGCAGTCCTGGAGGAGTACGCATCATCTCCCATACTTGTACCTTTACTCGTACCTGTGGAAAAGCATCAGAACATATCAATTGTTGTATACACACACAGACACACACACACACATGTACATGTAATTATGAATGTAAGCATTGTATGTATCTATGTCCGTCCGTACGTCCGTCCGTCCGTACGTCCGTCCGTACGTAGGTATGTATGTTTGTATGTGTGTGTGTGTGTCATGTATGTATGTATGTATGTATGTATGTATGTATGTATGTATGTATGTGTGTATGTGTGTATGTATGTATATGTAAATATATATATATATGTATGTATGTATGTATGTATGTATGTATGTATGTATGTATGTATGTATGTATGTATGTATGTATGTGTAAGTGACATACATATACATGCACGCATGCATGCATTCACACATATGTACACCCCACATAGACTATATCTATAATATGAACAGAAACGTAAATAAAATCATAAACAAACAAACACTAAAAACCAATAGAAATATTCGTATATATATATATGATATATGCATGCATGCAAGCATGCATGGGCAAGGAAGGATCATGATGTGAGCGCTTTGCCGTTGCTGTCATATCGCAAAACCGGAAAGCGGAAACCACAGTCAGCCGCGGTCAAGGCCCACTTTGACAAGGCTTTGCGGGATCAGGCGTTCAACTGCAAAGCTCGGTTACACCAGGACAGAGTTGGGGTTAGGGTTTGGAGTTTAGGGCTGCCAAAGTGTGCCAGTAACCCTGAAAGTGCCGTCAGTCTGTGAGTCCTTATGTTACAGTACTAGTATTAAGTACTGTTAGTTATAGGGTATAAACAGCGACAGAGTTGGGGCGGCTAAGTAGGGATTCAGGGTTCAAGGTGGAGGCAGTAATCACCATAGATTGCCTCGAGACTTCCGAAACTGTATACGAGCCATGTAAGGGTCAACGACGCTTGGCCAGTTTCGCTTCCAAACGAGGCTTGAGAATAGCACTTACCCTCAGTAGCGGCTCACGATTGTCTACATCCCTTGGCGAGCCTCATTTCATTATCTCCTCAACCCTGAATCCAGAACCCCCAATAAACTGCCCAATGCACTGGAAACCCAAGAGCCTGACACCCTATAAAGCCCTACACCTAGACACCAAGACATGCGGTTGATGATATAAATCCTGCATTACCCATCATAAGGAATATACCATAGTTTCCATAATTTAGGGTCCTGATGGCATAAGGACCCTAAACTATGGGAATTATGGCATATTCCTTATTATGCTCTTGTGGTAATGCAGGATTCAGATCATCAACAATACTGAAACCACCCCTGACAGAGGAGATTCGAGCTCGCGCCGCTGTCGAGAGCAAGGCTGACTCGGTTGCAGGGCCCCGGAGGTGTAGGGTTTAGGCTTGAGGGTTTAGGGTGTGAGGGCCTTAAACAATGTCATAGTAGTCTTGAAAATGTTGAGTCGATAAGGGCTTAGGACTAGAGTTTCAGGCTTTTTGTGATTCAATCTGTAGCCCGAAGGTACAAAGCACTGATGAAGAAGCAGGCTTAAAGCTCCAGTTTCATCTAAACCTACTTTGCATTGTGGAGTCAGTAACGCTATATGTCACTGCTTAGGACTCGAGGTCTCAGAGGGAGGCTTTCTTTTGGCGCTTTGGGGTTTGGTGCTTGGGAGGTTTGGGATTTCAGGGCTTTGGGCTTTAAGGCTTCAGCACTCGTTGATTTCGCAAGGGGGACGGGGTAGTCAGTATGGCCCTATACCCAAACCCTAAACTGCCCTAAACCTCCTACCCTAAACCCCAGGCAGGGTTACCTAAACCCTACAACTGCTGCCCCAGGAGAACTACCTAGACCCTACGAGCAGAAAAAGGCGCCAGAATCCCATCCCGGCTCGGTTCTTCGGAGTTCTCTGGAGGCTCAAAAAGCCAAGCTGATGGTGCAGCAAGCCCAGGAGCTCTGCGTTTTAGGGTTTAGTGGACCAGGGTTTAGGACTTATGGTCGGTATTGTGAAGATTCTGGAGTAGAGTTATAAAAACTATGGGACTTTATGAGGATTCAAAAAAGAGTACATTATAAAGAAACTGTGGGACTTTAATGAGGATTCAAAAAAAGTTCGTAGACGAATCGGAAGGAGTTTTGGCATGGCTTCATGTCTGACGAGAAAGGCTGCAGGGTTCGGGGCTTCAGGGTTCTGGTTGGGGAACAGCGTTTGGATTTGGCATCCGTGAGTCCCAAGCTGACCACCCCAGAGACTCCAACACCCCTTACTTGTAGGAATAGACCTTAAATCGTATTAGGATTCCTATTATAGTTTAAGGTATATTCCTTAATTAAGGGGTATTGGAGTCTCTGGGTCTAGGGCCGCGGGATCAGGAAACTTGGAGCATGGCGGGGCTTCGGGATCCGGCTTCAGGGTGCTACAGGGGCCTGAATAATTAGGGTTAGGGTTTAGGGTTTAGGGTTTAGGGTTTAGGGTTTAGGGTTTAGGGTTTAGAAATTAGGGTTTAGGGTTTAGGGTTGGGGCCCTTTATACTATACTTATACTANNTTAAGGGGTTTTGGAGTCTCTGACCAGAACAAGTATCGGTTGAAGCTCAGGCCAAGCTCAAAGTTTGGAAGCTAGCGGCTCCTGAAAACAACACAAGTTCTCACTAGGAGCTTGCCTAACCCATCCAGCACCGGTTGCAGAATTGCACAATCCTCGGAAGATTGCAGACCTTGTGGCCATCTCAAAACGTCCTTCGGCCCCTAAAACCCTATAAACCCTAAA